GGAGGGCTGGAGGGCGGCAGCATGTCTAGCCTTGCAGTAATAGGCCTTGGGTTACTGCTGGTAATCCTGTCTTCCTCTTGTGGGATTAGAGGAGGTCAGAACATGTGGCCTCCTTGCCGCTTTTGCAATCCCACAGCTTTGTAAGGTAGTATTGCCTTCACAGTTTCTGGGTTGAAAAAAACAAGCTTCTAGAAGGTATGAGTCTCACCAACAAACAAACAAACACCAGAAAATGTGCCCAGGAGGAATCAATCTCTTGCCAGGCCAGCAAGGTCACAGAAATGGAGCTTTCTCTAGATTGGTAGCATGTTGATAGCAGCTTTGCAGACAAGCAGTTGAACTGCTGCAGATAGAAAACTTAGTGAGGTCAGAGATGGAAAATACTACAATTTTTACTACCTGATCATTCAGAGATTTCTTTTGCTTGTATAAGTTTTCCTTTTCTTTTTTTAAGAAACAGCCTTAGTGGGACAATAAATGTAGCTTTTTGGCTCCACATTACATAGACCATCTAGGCATGAGTATCTTAATAACAAGGTATCAGAGTTGCTTCAGTGGTTCAGGACTACTGCATCTGGAAATACAAATATTTACAGTAGCAGTAATGCAGCAATGGTGTAGCCAGCCACTTCCTGGGCTGAAAAAGATACTTTTTAGTGGTGCAGAGATTAAAGCATTCAGCTGCTAACTGGAATGTTGGTGGCTGGAACCCACAACCGCTCTGAGGAGAAAGAGGAAGCAGTCTACTTCCATAAAGATTTACAGCCTTGGAAACACTGTGGGGCAGTTCTACTCTGTCCTATAGGGTGGCTATGAGTGGGAATTGACTAGATGGCAGCACGTACACAATGAAAAAATGTGGCATAGCTAAGGAACCAAGCTAATTTAGCTAGTAGGAAGCAACGGCTTTTGAACAACGGGTAGACCACGACCAAGAAGGTGGATTAAACTCTAGACGGTCTGCCAATTGAAGCTGGTGGGGCGTTTAAGGGCCTGTAATTGGCGCCCATAAATCCTTTCAGACCCGCCTGGAAAACAGATACAGCTACAGTAGGACTACCCAATGCTCACCCTCAGATATGAAAGCAAGTCCTATGGTAAGGGATAGACATAGATCCATATCACACAATGACAATTTGTCTCTGTACAAAGACAGGATGAGGGCGGCATTAATCCAGGAAGGAAATACTCCGTGTTCCCTGAGCGTGTATTTTGGAAGAAAATTACTCATTTCCTCAAGATACCCTTTTACTTCCAGGTACATCATCATTATCGATCCCCAGGGCAGAACATATCAGAGGCTCAGACTCGTTTTCCAGCCCCGAGAGGCGCAAAGAGCTGGAATCCCCAGGCGGGCAGGGACGGCGGTGACGCAGGAGGTGATCCAGTCGGAGGTCCCGGCGCGGGGGCGTGAGGTAGGGACTGGTAGCTCGCCGAAATCACCGCGGGCCAATCAGGAGGCGCGATGTTTCGGAGGAGGAGATGGGAGGGCGCGGGGACCTTTCGGATATCCTCCAGTCCCGGCGCAGCGCCGTCCGCTGAGTTCCGACCGAGAGCGCTGAGCCACCGGGAGTTGGGACGCGCCCGCCAGTCCTGGAGTTCCTCCGCGGCTCCCCTCCCTCTCGGGCCCGCCCCCTTCTCCCGGCCAGACGCGGCTCAGACGGCGCCCGACCTCCTTTCTGGCCGCAGCGCGCGTCGCCAGGCAGCTCCTCGCCTGGTGTCCGGGGGCCTGCGGGGGCGGCGCCGGCGGGGGCGCCTCACCCCGGGCTGGTGGCGGTAATGCTGCTGCCGTTGCCGCCCTTGCGGCCGGGCGGGCAGCTTGCGGCTGCGGCAGGAGCCGGAGCCGTAGCGCACTCGCCACTCGCCGGGACGCCGCCCTCTTCTGCCCTCGGCTTCCGCGGCCGTCGCGGGGCGCCGGGGCCTGGCGCGGCATGAAGAGGAGGTTACGCACCGGCGAGCGCCCAGCTCCTCGGCCCCCAGGGTCCTCGCGGGCCCCCGCGCGTGGCGCGCGCCTGCTGCGGCCCCGGCGCCCACGCTAGCCCCGCGCAGGCACGAGGCGCCGTTGCTGGGAGGAGAAGGAGGCGGTGGCGCAGGCCTGTGGAGTTCCCGCGGCCCGGGCACAGAGCGCGGGTTTCCGCGTCCTAGACACCGCCGAGCAGGAGCAGCCGGGGAGCCCGGGCGTGCTGCAGTTTGCAGTCCCTCTCCGCAGGGGCGCCGCGGCGCGCACCCAGCGCCTCTCCCCACCTGCAGCCCCTCCTCCAGCCGCTGTCTGGCGTTAGAACACGCGTCCGCGCCCTTCCCCAGCCTCTTGAGCTCCTTCCGTCCCCGGCTCCCCAACCAGCGGGCCCTCTCCTTCCTCCATTCCTTCCCCTACGTCTTCTCCCACCTCCCCTCCCCCGACTCTGCAGCCTCCCATTCATTCTGTCCGCTCCCTCCTCTTTCCTCCTTCCCGCTCGGGTCCTCTGCCCCGGAGCCTTCCCGCGCGGACCCCGCTGCACATTCATGGAAGTTTAGGGCTTGCACGGTGCCCCGAGTCCGGCCTGAGAACGCAGCCCGAGCTGCTGGCAGGGAAGAGGAAGATGTCTGTGCTCAGGCGGATGATGCGCGTCTCCAATCGCTCCCTCCTCGCCTTCATCTTCTTCTTCTCCCTCTCCTCGTCCTGTCTCTACTTCATCTATGTGGCTCCGGGCATCGGTAAGCACCGAGACACACCCTCACCTCCCACAGTCACCCTGAAGGAAACGCTGATTGTTACTTCTGGGATTTGAAGTCTAAACTGGGGCCTTCAGAAAGGTTTTTATTTGAATATGAGATTTCACACTTGTCCATTAAACTGCTTTGGGGCATGGCTGTGGTATGTGACTTTTGTTAATCACGTTGAAATAAAGATTGCATCAAATGGGCTTAGTAAAATTAGGTGTGATCCGCCCTGGGTGCTCTAGCCTTTCTTTGGATGTATTCACGACAGCATGATCCATTTAATATCAAGTCTTTGAGTTAGTACTTAATGGTCATTTTTTCTGAAAAACACTCAAATATAATATCTGGTTGTAAAAATATGATGGAGAAACCATCAGGGAACGTGATAGAGTTCAGGAATGTGTTCTAGCTCACTTTTTTAGAATGGGGTCAGGGAATATTGGTGGCACACTTGAATTTTTAGGGGCTAAGTTGCCTTGTAAGAAGAATGCTCTATTTAATCTGTTTGGGTCTGCTTTTCATGGGCAGGTTGGTTCTTCTACCTGTTAGGATGACTTTGGAGATAAAGTAATAATCATTATGTAAGAACTTGTAGTTTAAAAATTTAACCTTCCATATACAATTTTTTGGTCTTTGGCCTGAAACACAATTTTTGTATAATCCGTTTGAATTGGTCTGTTTATTAAAAATCTTTCCCTCTTTTGGTTCTAAAGGAACCAATATGGTATTGTTCTAATACATGAAAAATAGGAATTTCATCTGGATACATCCTATATTCAGAACTTTTCTAAGTTTTCTTGTTTATTATGTATTTAATGTTAAATTGTGTAGTAACAGCATCTCAAATCATTATTTTTCTTTTTTCCCTAAATTTTATTTTGTTGAGAATCTTATCCTTTTCTTTCCCCTAGACTCTCTTTTGAGCCAGTGCTATAACAATATCACACCTGAGTTAGTTAATATAACAGCTCTTGAAACATTTACATTAGTACACTCTTTGGAGAGAACAATCATGGGGGAATAGAAGGGCTGTGTATGCACAAGGAGACAGCTGGGGGGCAGGAGTGCATGGAGGGAAGGACACGGGAAGAGATAACTACGGGGTGCAAGTGTGAGGGGAGCTATTGCATTGTGGTAAATTATAATCAATGTCATGAGACAAAGTGTATGTGAGCTGCTGTATGGAAAGTGAATTTGCTCTGTAAACTTTTACCCAAATCAGTCAGTCAGTCACACACACACACACGTGCACACGTGCACACGCTCTGCAAACTTTCACCCAGATATCTCTCTCTCTCTCTCTCTCTCTCTCACACACACACACACACACAGAGCTCTTACAAAGTGAAAGCACCTGGTTGAGATGGAATTATTATCAGGACATTGTCTCATATAATAGATTATTTTAATTAATTGCAGAGGGGTAGGAAGCAGGAAACTCGGAGATTATTTTATTCCTTAAAAAAAAAACTGCTACTTTTCTTGATTAAACTTTTGGATGTAAGTAAGAATATACAAATGTATAAGCCCAGATAAAATGTTTGAGAAGACAGTAATTATTGAAATCTCAACATATCCCAAAATACAAGTTTGAGGTTGAAGTTTGAAGGAGTATGAATATTTTAACACAATTCTCTATTAATGCAGTGGTTTCTTTAGGCTAACAACCCCTGAAGCCTAGCGTACAGTAGGAATGAAGGTGATCCAAAACCAAATCCTCTGCCATGGTGTCAATTCTGAATCATAGCACCCCTACAGGACAGGGTAGAACTGCCCAATAGGGTTTCCAAAGTTGTAAATCTTTATGGAAGGCAATTGCCTCACCTTTATCCTGTGGAGCATCTGGTGGGTTTGAACCACCAACCTTTATGGTTAGTAGCTGAGTGCCTTAGCCACCACACCATCAGTGCTCCTTGGGGCAGTGATAGCTCAGTGGAATTTAGGTTAGCCGTGATATTCAGCACAGGCTTTTCTTTAAATCCTCTGCCATTTTGGCAGTCTTAAAACTAACTCTTTATTATATACAACTTTTTACTTCTCATGCATGTAGTTCTTTTAAAGATTGGGCGTTATTTGAGGGATATTATTTTTTTCAAGCATTTAACTTACAGACTTTGGAGAAAAAGTTTCTTTACACTGTAGAAAATAATTTTCTTGGAATTTTGAGAAAGGTTTTAAAGTTATGTTACCCAAAAAGATAAAGGAAACCAGAATTTCAACTTTTACTTGACAGCTATCTTTTTTTGTTGTTGTCATTGTTAGTGCATTAAGGTGTTATCAATAGATTCTTAAAATTCAATTGCTGTGAAATGCTAACGATTTTTTTTTTATTACTCAGATGCTTACTGTTTGCCGTAGAGCAGTCACTGCTGTGTCATGATGCCATAACAGATTTGGCAATTATAGGCAATTAGGTTGAACTGGTTTAGACTACTCTGTTCTTGTGGGTTATAACTTAAAAAAATCTCTTAAACAGAGCAAGAAAAATGAAAACCAAAACCTGTACCAACTTGTTGAAATGAATTTATTTCTAAAACCTAGTACTGTTCCCACCAGCCACTCCTTGGAAGGAAGAGTGGGCAATCTGCTTCCATAGAGATACCACCTCGGAAACCCAAGAAGGGGTTGCTATGAGTCAAAATCGACTTGATGGCAGTGAGTTTGGTTTGTTTTGGTTTTAGTACTATTTGTTGTGTTATGTGCTGTCGAGTTGGACCCGACTCATAGCGACCCCTCCTTGGGTTGCCGAGGCAGTATCACTACAGAAGTAGATTGCCCCATCTTCCTTCCGAGGAGTGGCTGGTGGGTTTAAACCACCAGCCTTCTGGTTAGCAGTCAAGTACCTTAGGCACTATGAAAAAAAAGTCAAACAACAACAACAACAGAACCCTCCTATTTTATCTTTAAGTATTGGAAATCTTTTTTCCAGATCCAGATTTTCACCCAAAAGTTTAAATGTTATCATTGGAAACAAAATACTGCCAGTTTTTCTGGAAGTGCCAGACTCACTTCACTGATTTTTCAGAAAATGTTGGTCAAATACATGAGTCTAAATAGCCATAATTTGTCAGTTGTTTTCTCACATAAAAATGGTGTTCCCTGAGAAACGTGGCCAGTTCAGCTGACTGACAGTGCAGCAGTCCCTTGCACAAGTGGTTTTCCTCCAGACAACCACAGTACCTTTGCGTGCAGTGAAAGTGCCTTCATGCCTACTTCCTGCCTCACCACATATTTCTTGTTAAGAAGATACAGCCAAAACTAATTAGCTTCTTAGTTTTCATTACATACACATGGATTCTTCTTGTAATTACTTATATTTTAGCCTGAATTATATCTTGGGGAATTTTTTTTATGGTTAAAATATGGTATATAAAAGTATCTTTTATTTCTGTTCTAAATAAATGCTTCAGATCTCTTCTGTAAAAAATAAAAAAAAGTATTACTCTACCAATCTGGTTAGACTTCAGTTACATTTCTCTACCTTGTTGATTCAGAGACCTATTTTTGGGATACGCTTTTCCCGGCAGCCCTTCTATTATTTTTAGTTACTGTGTAGTCTCCTTCACCTGTGTCTATCCCTTCATCCTTCCCTCCCTCTCTCCTGGGCAGATGTACCACACTGTTATAGGCAATATGTTCTTGTTCGTTTTTGATGTTACTCAGCATTTTCTTAGCTGGGTCTTAATTTGTAATGAGTTGCATAGAACTCAAAGCCCCATAAACTTTTTTTTTTACTTCATAAAAAAAAAACCTCCTGTTTTTTTTTTTTTTTAATTGTGATTTGTGAAAATTTACAAAGCAAATTCACTTTCCATACAGCAGTTCACATACACTTTGTCTCATGACATTGACTACAGTTTACCCCAATGCAAAAGCTCCCCTCCCACTTCCTCCAGATAGTTGCCTCTTCCCTGAGTCTATACCTCCACACACTCCTGCTGCCTTAGCTGTCTCCCTGTGCACAAACAGGCCTTCTATTCGCCCATGATTATTCTCTCCAAGGAGTGTATCTGCCTCAGGGTGTAAACTCATATGCCTGTCTTTTGTTTGGCTGGAAGCCACAGGTGTGGGTTCAATTCCAGACCTGAAGGGCAGCTAGGGGCCATAGTCTCAGTGGTTCCACCAGGCTCTATCAGACCAGCAAACCTGGTCACGCCCCCTTTTTTTTTCTCCAAATGATTTTGAGTTTTGTTCCACATTGTTCTCCCTCTCTATCCAGGATCTCCTGCATAGATCCCCCTCTGAGTGGTTGACAGTGGTTGCTAGGCACCATCTAGTTCTTCTGGTCTCATAGTCGTATAGAATGTAGATCGTATGGTGTTCCAGTTGTTAGGACTCATTGTTTCCTTGAATCTTTGGTTTTCTTCTTTCTTCTTTGCTCTGGACGAGGAGAGGCCCATCATTGCATCTAAATGGCTGCTTACAAGCTTTTAAGATCCCAGTTGCTACTCACCAAAGTAGGAGGTGGAACAGTGTTTTGTGTAGTATGTTATGCCAATTGAGCTTGATGTCCCCTGTGACTATGGCCTTAAGCCCACTGGTTCAACTTCTCGGTCCCTCTGGGTAGCTGGCTGTGACCAAGAAGTGGCTGCAACTTTGTCCCTTGTCAACTCTACTATACACCTGGGAATTCTTACAGATCATCCAAATACACTTCTAGGACCATTGTCTGCCAACCCTATACATGGTCTTGGGTACATTTCCTGCTTCATAGACATAACTAATAGTTCAGCCCGTCCACCCATCTCCACCCGTTTACCCATGTTTGCCTTCACTGACAATGCAGTACTGTATGTGAAAAAGGGTTCATCTTTGTTGTCTGTACCTGCCATGTACCTCTCTTTCTTCTTCAGTGCCACCATGTCAGTCACTCACATTTGGTACATTGCCCTTCTCTTCACCGAAATCAATACTTATCTCTACCTATCTAACAGCGTTCCCTCCCCTCCCACCCCTGGTAACCAACAGAGAAAATTTCCTTCCATAGATAAACC